TCTCTCTCTCTCTCTCTCTCTCTCTCTCTCTCTCTCTCTCTCTCTCTCTCTCTCTCTCTCTCTCAGAACTTTCAGTAAATTAATTTTAAAATAACAGAGAATGTCATTTTCCAATGCTTCACTGATACTGTCCTTTGCTGTTCTGTTGTCCTTCCTGCCTAGAAGCTTATAATATCTAGACATTAACCCAGTGTCGGGTTATTCAATAGGTCAGTCTCTGGGTTTCTTCACATTCACCTAATTATTTCCATAATTGGCATTGCCACAACCACCTACAGAGTTATTTCTGGAAGATGGAAGCAGGAGGGTGCTTCTTCTTTCTGATATCCATCTGCTCCTTCAATATCAATTGTTCATCTATCCTCTTTATTTGTTGAACACTGGCAGCTCTGTCTTCTTGATATGACTTCATGGAGTTATTAAAACTATTCACAATTATGGCTTTTGTTAAAGGATTGTTTTAGCTAAAAGATTATGACCCAGGGGGATTACTGGGGAATAATAATCAACTGTGAGTAACTGATGAGACAAAATAACCTGGTCATCAATTTTGTTGAAATGCCAAAGTTCACATCTGAAAATGGTGAGCAAAATATGAAAATGGGTGACTTTTTTAATAGGTAGTAGACACCAATTACTGTTCTTATGTAGTCTTAAATGGACTTTCACAATCCAATGGAAATAGCTTCTTCACATATCAAACAAAGCAAATATCTTCATTCGTTTTTGAGCAGTTTTCATAGACTATTAAAGAGTTTTTCTTTGATATAGAACTTATTAGGGGGTTGGTGTTAGGTTTTTTTCTGTTTTTATTTATTATATGTTTGTGTGTGTGTGTGTGTGTGTGTGACAAAACTATTTCAATTTTGCACATCAATGTTATATAGCAAAAACAGAATTTGTAATAGATTATTTAGGTTATGGTTGTGATCATACCAGCAAGCAACTTTTGACCTTAAAGAAGTCCCTTAATACTTTTTGGCAAAATAAGAATAATAACCTCCCACTTCAGAAAAGTTCTGATGACATGAAGATTTTTTTTCAGTGCCCAGAAATCAATCAATCCATGGCCTCACACATAATAAGCATACATAACATTTTTCCTAAAAGGTGTGTTTTTTTAATATGGAGTTTATTTTGACATATTATACACACAAGGAGTATAACTTCCCATTCTTGTGATTGTACAGGATGTGGAGTGTATTAATATATGAACATAGAAAAGCTATGTCAGCTTCATTCTACTGTCTTTCCTATTCCTATTCCCCTCCCTTCCTTTCATTCTCCTTTGTCTAATCCAATGAACTTCTATTCTTCTCTCCCACCCCTGCTAATTGTGTGTTAGCATCCACATATCAGAGAGAACATTTGGCTTTTGGTTTTAGGGGATTGGCTCATTTTACTTAGCATGATAGTCTCCAGTTCCATCCATTTATCAGCAAATGACATAATTTAATTTTTCTTTATGGCTGAGTAATAGTCCATTGTGTATATATAACATGAAAGAACCAACAAGGCTCATTGTCAGAGAAAATGCCCGTTTTTTGAGGAACAGCTCTGCATATTTATAGAGCCAGGGTGGTTTGACAGTTATGACAGTTTAATGATTGAACGGTTTATCAGTTGGCATGGAGTGCTTTCTGATTGGTGGGTAAAGATCATGTGAGCCAGCAGGGCTAGTCTGATTGGTGGGCAAGGATCATGTGAGCCAGCAGGGCTAGTCTGATTGGTGGGCAAGGATTATGTGAGCCAGCAGGGCTCACCATTGGATGGCTCTTCTCGGGGAATGGGGAAGTTAGTGTTTGGAGCCAGGCAACTCCCAACATAACACATTTTCTTTATCCTTTCATCTGTTGAAGGGCATCTAGGTTGGTTCCATATCTTAGCTATGGTGAATTGAGCAATTGAGCTGCTAGAAACATTGATGTGGCTATATCAATATAGTATGCTGATTTTAAGTCCTTTCAGTATATGCAGAGGAGTGGGATAACTGAATCAAATGGAGGTTCCATCCCAAGTTTTCTGAAGAATCTCCTTACTGCTTTCCATCCATAGTGGTTGCACCAACTTGCAGTCCCACCAGCAATGTATGAGTAAAAGGTACATTTCTAGTGATGGAAAAGTCTTGCATTTATATTTGTCAGTTAAATCACTGAGAATAATTAAGCTAGTTACAAAATACCAGGGGAGACAAAGCCCTCTGATATTTTAGTGGAGTCACAAGTTCAAGTCAGAATTAGAGCAAAGTATTACATCACAAGGCTTGATAGGAAGTTTAATCAATATACACATCCTAATAAATATAATTTTCTTGAACCAAGAAACAGTGGCAGGCACATAGGATACATTATTTGGCACAGTCAGAGTCAATGGCCCTTATAACTCTTAAATCAAATCTTGTGATTATAGCAAACAGACTTGGAAAAAACCTCAACTTTGTTATAAAAAGAAACTAGATCCAGATGTGAATAATTTAAGTTTCACGACAATTGGTTCTTCATTAAATTGCTGACACTTACAGCTACTAGAGTCAATGATAATGTCTAGTTAGGGCTTATTATAAGGTATATAGTTTTCTTTTATCAACCTAGCATGCCAATAATAATTATTAAAACAATAATAACACCAAAAGTGGGTAACACTCATTAGTGCTTACTATATGCCAAAATTTTAACTATGAATATTTTATTTAATCCCTAGAACTACTCTGAGATGGCTGCTGTCGTAAAATTCATTTTACCAATGAGAAAATGATAGTTTAAGGAAATTAAGGTCACAGAGCTAGAAAGAGATGAATTCTGATCTAACTCATGTTCTTAAAAATGAAACCAGGTCAGAGGGTACAAAGTTTCAGTTAGAGACTATGAATAAGTTCTGGAGATTAGTATGCCTCTATTAAGAGGTGGGTTTGTTTTCTCTCCTTAAACCCAGATGTGTGTATGGCTCTGGTGGGGAGAGATCTCATGTGACCTCTGAGGCCACATCATAAAAAGCAACAGAGCTTCCTCCCATCCTCTTGGGACACTCTCCCTTGGAACCCAGCCCCCATACTGAGAAGCAGCCAACAACCATTTGGAAAGTCACGAATGATTTTCCAGCCATAGCCCCAGCAGAGATCCCAGCTGACAACCACCCTCCACTGCTGGACATGTGAGTAAATGACCTCCTGGATAGTTCCAAACACCAGTCTTCAAGCTTCCCCAGCTGCTGCCAAGTGGAACAGACATCACTCACCCTCTGAGACATGAACAAAATAGTTGTAATTGTTTTAACCCACCACGTTTGGGGACAGTATGTTATACAGCAATGGATAACCAAAACAAGTTCTATCAAAGTTTAACAATTTTGTAAGTTGACTATGAGAAATATACTCTATCACGTTGCCATAACAAAACATCATATAATGAATGGGTGGCTTAAACAACAAAATTTTATCTTCTCACAATCTGGAGCCTAGAAGTCCAAGATCAAGGTTCTGATCAATTACATGTCTGATGCGGGTCCTCTTCCTGGCATATAGATGCCCTCCCTTCTCTCTATGCTTGTTAGTCAGCATTTCGTTACTATTGCAAAATACCTTGAAAAAAGAATTTAAAGAAAGATCTATTTTTGGCTCATGGCTTCTGAGATGTCAGTTCATGAATGGCTGGCTCCTTGGATTCTAGGCCTGTGGTGAGGTAGAACATCATGGCAGGGAAGGTGTGGGGAATAAAGCTGCTCAACTCATGGTGGCTGGGAAGCTAAAAAAAAAAAAAAGAGGAATGGGCCAGGAACAAAATATAATTGTAAAAGTCACACACCCAAGAACTCACTCCCTTCAACTAGATCCTACCTCCTATAGTTCCCAGTACTTCCCAACAGTCCATTCAAGCTATAACTCCATCAGTGAACTAATTCACCTATAAGGATAAGCCCTTCAAAACACAAGCACTTCCCAAGAGCCCCATCTCTGAACATGGCTGCATTGGGGAACAATCCTGCAATACATGAGCCTTTGGTGGATATTTCGGATTTAAACCATAGCAATGTCCTCATGTGGCCTTTTCCCATTGTATGCATGTGAGAAGAGAGAACACTCTGATCTCTCTTCTTATAAGACAATTATCAGATCAGGGACCTTGTGACTTCATTTAACCTTAAGTACTTCCTTCAGGACCTATCTCCAAATACTGGAATTTAGGGTTTCAACATTTGAATTTTGAGAGGAACCAAACATTTAGATCATAGCATGCATCATAACTAAAAAACTACAGAAGTATTGAAAGTAAAAATGGTGAAAAAAGCTAAAACATGCTCAGCACCAATTAAATAAAACCTAGTGTGATAGACTCAATTTTTATGCCCTCTCTCCAATTCACGCTGAAAATTTCACATACCGTGTGATGGTTTGGGAGATGGGGCCTTTGGGAGGTGATTTAGGTCCTGAGGATGGGGCACTTAAGAACAGGATTAGTGCCCTTATAAAAGAGACCTCCTAGAGCTTTCTGCCTTCTTTCTTTGGAGGGGACAGAATGAGAAGATGCAACCCATAAAAAGGCTCTCTCCAGAACCCAATGGTGCTGGTACTACAACACCAAGACAGTGAGAACTAAATTTCTGACATTTATACACTACCAAATCTATGATAGACGGTAATAACAACCTTAACTGAAAAAGACATCTAGTGTAGCTATACTATATCACATAGAATAGACTTTCAGATAAGAAGCTTTATTAAAAATTAAAAGCAACATTTAACAATGATAAAGATTCAATTTGCCACAAAAACAAAATTATATTAAATTTGATCATCTACTGCCATAAGTTCAAGTCTATAATGCAAAGGGAAAAAAAATCAAGAGATAGAGGTAATCCCTAATCATATTGGGAGAACTTTAACACATATTTTTCTGTAACTGATAGAACAAATGCTCAAAAACAAATCAATAAGGGCATAGAAGATTTAAAAATCATTAGAGGAGTTTTGGAAAGGGTAGGACCAAAGCAAAAGAAAAAATAATATATGCCCCTAATGATACATAATCATTTCAGAAAAATATCACCATAAGATGTAGGATAGTGTTGGGGAAGAGAATTAGGTGACATGCGGCATGCTGGTTCAGAAGAAATATAGACATTGAAAAGAACTCAATAGAAGAAAACAAATATGACAATGAACTTAAACAAATAGCGACTATTATAAGAATAAAAATAAAATATTATGTTAGTCAGTTTTCAGCGACTATAATGAATACCTGAGAAAATAAACTTATAAAGAGAAAAAGGTTATTTTGACTCACAGTTCTGCAAGTTTCGGTTCATGATCCAGTCTGACCCTGTTGCTTTGGGGCCAGTGAGAAGGCAACACATCAGGGCAGAAGTGTTTTGCAGGGCAAAACTGCTTACCTCATGATCAGGGAGCAAAAGAGAAAGAGAAGGGAGTAGAAGTCCCACAATCTCCTTCAAATATGTGCCCCCAATGGCCTAAAGACATCTCCCCAGGCTCCATTTCTTAAAGGTTTCACACCTCTCAACAGTGCCTCCCAGGGAACAAGACTCCAACACGTGGGCATTTAGAAGACATTCAAGATCTAACTTATAGCAAATGTATGGCTCTAAAAGCCAAAGACAATTCAGTTTACCCACATAAGATGGGAAAACTGCAATGATAGTCAAAAACTTCCCCTCCTGAAAGCAAAACAAAATAAGAGCCAGATGGCTCACTAGTGAGTTCTGCTAAACTTTTAGGAAACAATGAACTTCCCAGCTCTATCACTGGTCTGGACAGGTTATTTCATCATTCTGAACCTAAGTTTCTCCTGTAAAGTGAAACTGTTAAAATAACAAAATACTTAACAATGCCCGTGTAGAAAACACTGAGTAAACATTATCTGCTACTTTTATCACTCTCACTCCTTTCACTACTATTGTTATTGCTACTTCTACATTATTATTCATGTATCTTTATGGTCTCCCAGATCCCTTGCACCTGATGACATGGGGGCAAAACTAAGTCTATCAACTATCAACATTTTAAATTTGATTTATGCAAATAGATGTGATTAAGTCTTATAGGCATAGAGATTTTTTTTTCTTAACAAGATGAAATCCATCAAAAGAATTCTAGATTAATCCCAAAGTAAACCAGAAAAAAAATAGTACATGGAACAAAATGAATTGGAGAATCTTGGTCACAAAAACAGATTTGAGTGTGAGAGCCAAATTCTTGCCCAGTGAGAGTAAATTAGAAAGAGGAAACAAGCTGGGGAGGGATCATTCTCATCTGTGATTTACTGACAGAGTGTCACTAGCCAGTTTCCCACTCCAAGATGCTACATCTTTTCCAATATTTAATAGATAACAGTTATCAATTGGAAGTTTTTTTTTGCATATGGTCAGTGCTCAAGAAATATTTATTTATCAATATGTCAATTTTGGTCATTTTCTCAGTTTAGTAATTTCAATCATGTTACTGACATCAGTTAGGTCATTCATGGTCTATCACTCTTCTTCAGGTATTAAACATTTCCAAAACACTTATGACTATCAGATCCTCAGACTATGAAGATACTACGTAATGGAGCAAAATTCAAACCAGGAGTTTGTTTCTTGTTATGGAAGAATAACAGAAAATTTTCTTTATAATCATAATGATATGATTATAAATAACTTGACCTTCAAATAACTTAACTTGAAAATTTAGTATTATCAGAAACGAGAGACCATTATCTGAACAGACTGGAAAATATATCAAGGATGAATGCCTGAGCTCATAGCAAAACGCTGGCAAGAAAAAAAGAATGTTAGTGTGAAGCACACAGAAGATTCAGTTATACATTTTCCCATCAAAGTTTCACTTCAAAAACAAACAGAGCAGATTAGTCAATGTTTCATAATGGAAAAGAGCATAATTTAGGAACTCGTTCAGGGAGATATTTTAGTTCTCTTGCTTTATTTTCTCAGTTAATCATTTGACTATTTTGTGTACTTCCTTTCCTTGGGAATATTATCTGAATCAGATCTGATTTTTTTAAAAGCTATTTCAATATGTGCAAAATACTTTTGGTATTTGTGAATTTATAAAATGTTCTTAACCTCAGAGAAAAATAAATAAGTTAGAGAAAATTAAAACAAGTTCATATCATTAAGTACATTTTTTTAAATCCCTAAAGTATAGGAAGAATGTAGGTGGACTAGAACAACAGTCAGCCTTGGGCAAGAACTTAGAGAAATCTCTGCAGACGTCAAAAATGATTTTACGTGAACAGTTTTGGGGAGGGGAGTAGTGCACCAGCCCACGTGTTCTTAGGACTTCTCCCAGTGGGGAGGAGTTGGGGAAAATCATGGAAAAGGAAAACTTATCAGAATTTAAATTTCAGCAGTGATCCTTCAGTGCAATTATCCTTCCCCAACCTGACATGTTTGCCATCTAATAATTTAATTACACACCGAATGAAGAAAAGGAGGCAGTGCTAGGTACTTAGGTAAAAAGAAACACGAACAAACTGGATTTTCACCCACATGAACTATTAAAGATGATGAGATTACATGAAAAATAAAACCTAATACTATAATATTTTATAAGAATAACATGGTAATATTATAGAAAGGATTTTCCAAATCAAAGAAATCAGAGTAAGGTGATCTCCACTTCTTACCTGTTCATTCCTTCCTATGCCTCAAGGGTAGCCTTAGTCACACATCTGGTTCAGTATCTATAGAACTTTACAGCCTGTTGTTTAGACCACAAATGTGATACTTGTATAATCACTTCTTGCTTTTTTTTTAATAAGAACATGCATTGAAGAGGAAAATAGAGTAGCACACAGAGGTGAGAGAACATAGTGACCAAGAGAACATATTTCAGTCAAATGACTTTAGTATAAATCCACAGATCCACTGGGAAACTTTGAGAAAGTTATTTGAGCTCTCTAAACCTGATTCCCTATCCTCAAAATTGAAATATTAGTAGTTCCTATCTCACAGAGTTTTGAGACCACGATTGTACTTAGGATGCTAGGGGCATAAACACTAGCTGCATACATGTTGATATGACTAATGTTTGATATGAATATAACCACTTAGGCATTTCACAGTCATTTCCTTAATGCCTGTTCTGGGCCAAATAATATTCTGGGCACTGGACCCCAGCTGTGAATAACGTAGGCAAAACGCCACCCATCAATACGTGCATTTTTTAAGAATTTTTTACTTTAAAAATTTAAAAAAGTTCCAGACTTCATGGCACCTCCATTCTCGTCTCAACCAGAAAAAGAAGCCTCACTAGAAAAAAAAAAAGCAACAAATATTATTTTGTACCTTCCTTGGTTCTCTACATAAAATAGGTAACAGATATTCATGAAGGAATTATAATAGATGGAAGAATAAAAATATGACCTCCTGGACAAAGAAAATAACAATTGTGCGAACCAACACATAGTATTCTGCTAAAGTCTTCTGGAATCTAGTCATTTAACATTTCTTAAAAGTCAAACTCCTAAGTAATTTAAAATAAAATGGATTACACAAAGTTTCCACCATACCATGCCATATTTTGCTCATGTGGCAGAGGAATGCGAGGCATGGAGCGCATTTCTGGATTGTGATGTTCAGCCAGGTGAGCCCAGATCACCTTGTTTTGTGGCCATTTAGTCTTGGACCTCTAAATGCCAGTTGGAAGCATTGGATTTGCTCCTTGGCCTTAGAGCCACAGGAGGAAACCATGTGTCCAGAGTGATTGCAGGAGGCCAAGGAGGCCCAG